TGTTGTAGTGTGTACCAAAGCCAATTATGAGCTTCAGTGACGGATACTGAATTTCATTGCACTGTGAAATATTCAGTAATAAGTTCCTGCATTTTTTTCGTTTTCATTAAATTTATTTCACCTGGGCCAAGCACTCATTATGCAAACTTGCACATAGCAAAGTATAAGCACTCCAAACATGGCTTAAGCCAACCACGGCAGTAATGTTTTTCAAGAATACTATTGGTTAATACAAATAATAATGAAGGATTCTACCTTCCGACTATTGTCTTTTATACTGTAGGAACTGCATTTCAATTGCACTGCCGTTTTTACGCCCCGTATTCTGGTTTTGTGCGTGGATTAAACTCACTGGCACCTGAATTAAAGTCATTGGCAATTGCATTAAACAGGATGCCACTTGAATTAAACTCAATGGCACGCGGCCTGAGTGAGTTGGCGCTTGAATTAAATATGTTGGCGCTTGGATTAAATGTTTGGCACATGGATTAAATAGCTCAGCGTTCAGATTATTTCAATGGCGTGCAGATTATTCAGGATGGCACTTAGATTAAAGTGAGCGGGAAAACCTGTAGGCGTTGTCTGGCATGCTGAAAATATAATGGGTTGTAAATGACTACGTGTCTTTTATTTAAAAGAGTGAGTTGCTGGGCTGGTTGGTGGTGCATAACAGACTGAGACGCATATTAGCGCAAAAAAATAAGTAAACCAACAACCTGAAGAAAGTAAATGACGACGTGCTTTACTCACAACTTTTTATTAGCAAAAAAAAAGAAAAGATGAGAATAGTGCACATATAGAAGCCATGTCACTACATGTGGTTATGCAACTAGGTTTTCAAGCACACCCATTGTGGGAAGAAGCAGCTTCTTCGAGATTGCTTTGGTAGTTTAATTACATTACCAAAAAGAGCAGAGATCATTGCATAAGTGAATATTTATCCTCTGTCGCTTAATTAGTTCGACCTCATCTTGAATTTATGTGCTACCGCATCTGATATAAACGTGTTAGTTTACCAGTCTACGCGCATGCATGACAAAAGGACATATACGTGAAAACTTTCCTCCTAATGAAAAGTTGTGAGTAGCGTGTGTCCTTGTCTTCTTTCTTGTGGTCATCCGTTTTATTTAGTGCTAATGTATCTCAGCCAGTTACGCGTGTCACATGGTTAACGAGCTGTGTTTTATTCACTTTGTCACCATGGTATAAACTTCTAATTGCATGATATACTCCTTAGAAAAGAACAAGAAATTTTGTATTTTATTCACAACATTTCACTGAATGTTCATCTTCTTCCTTTCAAGGTGCTGGCAATGAAGTTTGGCCCCCAAATGACAGGTAGAAGGTGTGCAGTGTGCACTTTGCTCCAACCGACTATAAGCCGGGACTAAAGATAAAAAGACTCAAAGCGGATGTTGTGCCGTCAGTGTTTCCACACTACCCAAAGTACATGGTGCCGCCCGTGGCAAAAGTCCGCCGCACCTTGAAACGTTCAAATGTTCAGGAACATGGACCCTTCCCAAAGAAAAAAAGTGACTAACAATGTTTAATGCTTGGCGTCTCCCCGCGGCTTTTGCATATATTGGACCAATGAAAACGAATTTCAAGGAAAGGCGTATAACAGAACGCAATTTTTTAATGCAGGAAGAAAACAGGTTCAGCCCCGGTGCAGCAGAGCTTGACATCGAGTGACATGTCATCAGTACCATCCGCAAACACAACTGCGGGACCATCCTCAGACTTTATGCACCCTTTACCGAATTTAAACGCACAGAACCACCTGAAACTGCACTTGGCGACAAAGTAAAAAAAAAAAAAAAAGACCGACGCTCCTTGACCACGCAAACTATAACCAGCCAGAAGATGCGCCGTGTGATGACTCCTGCAAAATCATCGCGCCGGAAATGCCAAACCATGGCAAGTAATAATGCTGAATTAAAAGCGCAAATAGCCAAGCTGAACCGTGAAGTTGCTCTTCTCTCCAAAAGAGCAAACGCGGCAGTCTTGCAGGTAAAGTTGTTTGCTGTTGGTGTTGGTTCATTTCAAAACAGTTGCAGAGTGTTTTTTATTCATTATTTATGTACCTGCGATCTACATTTACCATTTGATACGAAGGTATTTATGCGCAAAATTGTCTGTATTAGGCTGTTTTCTATGCGCGCTGGATGCCACGGCCACTGGCAAATGTCATAGTCCTTGTCCTTTCTTGTCCTGACAGTAAATTCAATCCAGGTGAGTGTGCGACAAGTCTACCAATGTATACACGTATCATGAGTTAAATAAACATTTGGTGGACCAGCACTTTATACAACCTGTCTCTATCATCATTATTTCTTGTTTTGCACGCTGATACACGTGTTTGTATCTGATTTGCGGTCCTATTTGAAAAATAATGCACTGAAATATCAACTAAACTGCAAAAGAAGATTCTCAAAGTCACATGAAATAAAAAGATTCAAGATAACCGCCATATTTACTCAATGCGTGATGAAATTTTTCTCGAACCGGCGGTAACCTATGCATTTCCATACATCCACTAGCGCTCATGGATGGATGGATAAATATAGCTGTACCCTTTAGATTGGGCGGTGGCTAGCGTCACCAAGCCGTAATACTTAATGAACCAAAAATTAGATTTTTTTTTTTCATTCAATAGTTAGATTGAGGATTCGTACTTTGCAGTGAAGGGTTTAATTATCACTCGTCCCTTGACTTTAGCCCCCAATCAGATAACCTACATCTAGTTTTCTACCCGCTTAAAGTCTATTTTGCCATTCCTGTCCCTAAACCCCAGTGTTTTGATAAAAAAAACTCTGCGCCATCAGCCTGAACTGTAGGGTGAAGCCCTTTACAGAACATTATCAAGTGTTCGGCAGTTTCTTCTTCCTCTCCACACGCACTGCATACCGTGTCTACCCCTTCTTATTTGGCCCGATATGTCTCAATTGGTTCACAATACTCCCATCCCGACCTCAAACAGTAGAGAACTACCCCGAGTATTATCATAAATCCTTTCCTTGGCAATTTCCTGCTTAAAAGTTCGATAGATCTCTAGTGCGGACTTCTTAATCATGCCAATTCTCCACATATCGGTCTCAGCTTTCTTCACCTTCTTCCTAACCAATAATTCGTTTTGGTTTGGTCCCCTGCTGTTTTCCAAGTATTTACCAGTCAATTTTATGGTTCGCGTCCTCCATTTGGATCGACATTCTTCATGTACAAGTAGCTGAATACCTTCCTAGCCCAATGCTCCTCCCCCATTTCGCTCAATCGCTTCTCAAATTTTATCTTGCTGCTAGCTTCCCTTCCCTCAAATGATGTCCATCCCATATCACCTTGTGATATGGGATGATATGATATGATATTTGGTGTATTCCCGTGAGCTCCTAAGGCAAGCCTACCTATTCCACGTTGCTTAATTTCTAATCTTGCTTCAACTTCTGATCTCATATGCACAAGACAGCATTGGCGAACGTCAGACCGCAGGAACCATGACCCGGCCCTTTCTACATTCTTCTCATATAACATCATACCTATTCTCATTCCACAGTGCCCTGTTTTTCATTACCGCTGCATTCCTGATACCTTTAGTTGACACGTATATTTCGTGTTCCCTTAGGTTCTCGGCCCCATTGCTTATCCATACGCCCAGATATTTGTATTTATCTGTTACCTCTTACGTGACCTCCTGTACTCTGAGCTCACTACCTTCATTGTCATTAAAAATCATGACTGCCGATTTTTCCTTACTGAATCTGAAATCTAACGCATCTCCCTCATTACCGTAGATGTCCACCAATCTCTGCAAATCTTTCTTGTTGTCAGCCATTAGCACTATATCATCTGCGTACATCAATGCTGGTATTCCTGTTCAATGAGTTTTCCTTGTTTGACGAAAGAGAGGTTGAAGGACAGTCCACGTCCATCTAATTTGGCCTCTAATCTTTGTAGGTACATCATGAATAATAAGGGTTACAGGGGACACCCCTGCCTAAGCCCCCGTTTTACCTCTGCAGGCTTGGATACCTGTTTATCCCACTTTATAATTACCTCGTTACCTTTATAGATATCCTTTAAAAAATTAGTGACTACATCTTCTACGTCTAGTGTGTCCAGTATTGCCCACAAGTCCTCTTGAACCACGCTATCGTACGCTTCCTTGATATCCAAAAATGCTAGCCACCGGGGCCTGTGTTCCTTTTCTGCTATTTCTATGCACTGCGTCAGTGAGAACAGATTGTCTTCCAACCTCCTGTGTTTCCGAAACCAATTCTGCAGTTCCCCCAGCGCCCCCTCATCCTCTATCCATGCCTGCAGTCTTTCCTTTATAATCTGCATCGCCAGTCTGTAGACCACTGATGTCCCTGTTATAGGACGGTAGTTGTTTATGTCAGCCCCATTTCCTTTATAGATCATGCTCATCTTGCTAAGTTTCCATTGATCGGGAACTTCTCAATCAATTATTATTTTGTTCACTGACTCTCTCAAAGCCTGCTTAGACTTTGGACCTAATGTCTTTATCAGCATAATTGGAATGCCATCTGGGCCTGTTGATGTACTGCTAGGAACCCTTTTCTCAGCCCTTTCCCACTCTTGTTGTGAAAATGGAGCCATTGCGCCACTTGATTCATCCTTGTCTATTGTGGTGCATAAAGCACTTCTTTGTTGAAATTTTTCTGTCACCCTTGTTCTTATATATTCCTTAGCTTCGTCCACTTCTAGCCTAGCACCTTGAGCTGTAGTTGTAAACCTCTGCTCTAGGCTCGTCTCATTTCTTAGGGAGTTTAGATGGTTGCAAAATTTCGCAGCTGCCTTTCTATCTTTTTTATGTACTTCTGCCAGCCACTGAGCTCTCTTTCTTCTAATCTTTTCATTGATCATAAGGGATGCATCCCTTCTACAGCTTAGAAAGATTTCATATTTCCTTTCAACATCATGAATTTAGTACCATGAGACTACAGCGCCGCCGCTACTGTCACCCGCCGGAGAGTCAGCCGAGATATGGCGCGGCCGCCTCGTTCACTCCACTTCCCCCTTCTAGTACACTGTATCCATGGTTGATCCAGTGGTGTGCAACAACTGGTAGGTGTTCTGTGCGCTCTTACCACAGAACACCTACGAGCTCTAACTCTTTGCGCAAAGGCGCGCATTGCGCTCGGTCGTAGGTGTTCTGTGGCTCGGTGTTGTGCGGTCATCGCTTGTTGGACGGAGTTCCTGACGTTGTTGCGTGTTCTTCATCGTGATTTTGACAGTGTGCACAGGTGCAGTATTTGTTCGCTGGGCTTGTTCCTCGCATGTTGTCGCTACTCTCGGCACATGCGTTCTGTTGCCTACATTTGGTGTGCCTTCTCAGTGTTCACGGTTGGCCTAACAAGCGCACGCGTGGTGCCAACGGGTATCTCATCGCATGCAGCAAATGAGTTTGCTAGGTAGTCCGCACGATGTATCCAACGAGCCAGTTATCACCGTTGGTGAACGCCGACCTGACAACTTCACCTCTCAAGCGTTGCCATGCTGGACGCGCGTAGTCTCAATCGCTCTTCTGTGACACCAGGACAAAACGGAAAGACACATGCGGGAACGAGCTTACAACTTTTTATTGTTCGCTAACTGCTCGTCGTGTGTAGACGAAAATGAAGGAGTGAAAACCACATAAATAATAGATAAGAAACGACGGTAAGCAAATATGTTACAAATATACACATATGTGATGCGTGAGTGGACGTAATGATGGTTTGTGAAATCATGGTCGCTGGGTGAAAAAAGCGCACAGTGCTGTCTTCCGCGTCGGGCGGCTTTCTATCAGGCACTGCGCCGTGCTCCCTACCGGGCTGCAGATTTTTTTGTGTTGTTTTGTTTCCCTGGAATGATGGCTCATACCCACTCAGGGGGATTGGCCAAGAAAGTGTAGTGCAGTTTTTCTGTGATCATTTTTACTGTGTGTAATGAATTGGTATTATAATAAGAATAATGTAAAAAAAAAACATAAAAAGAGCAAACGAAAAAAAAAAAAATCAAGTTGAGCAATTTTGAGATTTGAGGTGTTATGATTACCATGGGCTGCAGAAATTAGGTGCCTTCTTCCTCTTCTAACCACCACCACCACCTTTCTATGGGAGAGCGCGTATTTGCAAAGTTGCAAAGGTATATTTATTTCTGCATGACATTCACTTCCCCTGTTTTTTTATACGGCTGGGTCAAGTGACAACCACGTTTTTCTTTTTTTTGTTTATACATGGCAAAACCACGGCTGTTGAAGGGCACTCTTCATGCTACCTAAGGGTAGAGTAACTCTAGGGTAAACGGGTGGCGGAGGCTCCTTCGGGGCAGCATCCGCAGCAAATTAGCTGGTGATTGTCAGAACAGTGACCCACTCAGTCGTTCTACTCAGTGTTTTGTTAATCTCACTTATCAAAGTGATCACATCGCGTATTAAGTAGAGTACATAGACGCTATCTAGATAAAAGGCAATTGAATTGTGTGTGTGCCGAGCACTCATCTTTTTTTTTTTCTCCAGAAGCCACTTCGTGCTTTAAGGCTGAAATAAAAACCCACAATGAATGTAGCAGTACTATATGGCACCGAATGTGTCACAAAGTGGTTGTTCTATTTATGAAGATACAATGTGTCCTTTTTTGAGTTTAGGTACTTTGATCTCCGTGATGTTTACTCAGCACCTTCGCGTTTTTTAGGCCGGAATCCTTGACAACAATTTTTTTGGATACTTGACAATAGAGGTTCATAGTATTTATATGCTAAAAGTGCATGAAAAAGCATAATTTGAATCTTTTTCGTGTTATCTGGTACACAGTAGTGTGCCAAAGAGTAATTCAGCTTAAAACGGTGATAAAAGTGGTTTCTACAAACAGAGTGACACACTCTGCAGAGGCTGCAAAAGTATACATCATTAGAAGTGGCATTCAAATTTCTTGATAGTTCTTACTAAGCAGGACTATATATATATATATATATATATATATATATATATATATATATATATATATATATATATATATATATATATATATATATATATTGTGAGCGCTGACTATGTACTTCATCTTCATCTGTACGACCAAACAATTGTAGTGATCATCGTATGTCACGCGGGCTGGCTCTCTGGCTCGTGCGTCTGGATTAAAAAAGATAACCTGGTTGCTGCCGTACCCGCATGTGGTCTCATAAGGGGTGGAGGTGCTGGGTAGAGCAGGAGGACGTGGGAACCAAAGCACGCTACCCATCACTCCTAGAGCTCCAGTCTGGTCGACGGATGTGCCCTCAAGCAACAGCGATGGCAGAACCCAACGCATACGCTACTGCAACCGCTCCTTCTCAGCCACTTAGGCTTCACTACACCGCGAGTACCTCTCATCGAGACCCTCCGGTATTTTCCAGCCTTCGCAACGAAGACGTCGAAGAATGGCTGGACAATTATGATCGAACCAGCGTTTGTAATTATTGGGACGAGGCGCACAAACTGCGCTACATTCCTTTTTACCTTGATGGCGTCGCTAAAACCTGGTATTACAACCACGAGAGCGACTTCTCCAATTGGTCGGCCTTCACGGGGCCATCTCCGTCAGGTATTTGGCACGTCAGCAGGATGAACGACGTGGTTACTCAGCTTACGAGAGAGACTTTGCCACGAGACCCAATGAATACGATCTCGCACCGTATCCATCCACCTCCCGTCAGTCGCCCTCCCCTCCACGGTCTCATGCTGGGCCTCATCCTTCTCGTTCATCTCGCCGCCGTTCTCCGTCACTGTTTCGGCGTACCTCATCACCCCTGCATCCCGTTCCGATCTCTCTGGACTCGGAAAACTAGAAGGTGCAGTTTTTGGAGGGAAAACTGCTTGTTGTCGGAACGTTACAACTCCTCCGTCTCGTCCAGCTAATTTACTGCCTGTTTGTGTGGAAGGTGTTTTCGTTGACGCCCTTATAGACACTGGAGCCGCAATTTCGGTAATTGATCGTGAATTGTGTTTTCGCCTGCGTAAAGTGCAAACTCCTTATGCAGGTCCCATGTTATGCGGCGCTAATGACAGTCCAATTTGCCCGACCGGGTTGTGCACTGCTCGTATTCTCATCGGTGGAATCCGTCATCACATACAATTGGCTGTGTTGTCTTCGTGCGCTCATCAGATAATCTTAGGCTGGAACTTCTTGTCAGCGGCGTCTGCTGTAATTTCGTGTGGTCGGCCCCTCATTCGCATTACGGACACTGAGCTTTCTTCTGCTGCCGACCTTTCGTCGCCCAACCTTGTGACAGCTTCGGATTTCCTCCTGCCGCCCGGACAAGAACGTGTCCTTACGATCAAGTCACGAGACATTCTAGATGGTGATGCTGTGGTTGTTCCTTGCCAGCGCTGCATTTTTCGAGGGAACACCATCGCATCTTGTTTAGTGCGGTTCTCCCGTGGTTATGCAAGCATCACGGCCTGCAACACGACGCCAGAACCACTTCTTTTGCCAGAGGGGACCACTGTTGCCAGCATTACCGAAGAAGCACCGCTTTGTGTCGTCACTAGTTCATCTGCTTCGTCATTCTCAAAGTGTATGCCAGTGGAAGATGCATTTCCTGCTCTCAAGGACACTTTGTGTGAACATCTCAACCTAACGCAAATTGATGCCTTGCTAGCGTTATTAATGAAGCACAAAACTTGCTTGGACGTTTGTTTCGAAGGTCTGGGTCAAACAACAGTGACCGCCCATCGTATCGACACCGACGGATCCCTTGTGATTCGCCGCCGCCCTTACCGTGTGTCGGCTTCTGAACGCAAGCTTATAGAAGAACAAGTCAACGACATGCTCGCGCGCAACGTCATCAGGCCTTCGACAAGCGCATGGTCTTCTCCTGTCGTACTAGTGAAAAAATGAAAGGATGGCTCGGTACGGTTTTGCATTGATTACAGATCACTCAACAAAATCACTCGTAAGGACGTCTACCCAATGCCTCTCATTGACGACGCTCTTGATACTTTACAAGGTGCCGGGTACTTTTCAAGTCTCGACTTGCGCTCCGGTTATTGGCAGATTCCAATGCACGAGTCTGATAAAGAGAAGACTGCGTTTGCTACGCCAGATGGGCTCTTTGAATTCAATGTGATGCCTTTCGGCTTGTGTAATGCCTCAGCCACATTCGAACGGATGATAGACACGGTACTGCGGGGATTAAAATGGAAGACCTGCCTTTGCTGCCTGGAGGACATTGTCATCTTTTCGTCCAGCTTCTCACAGCACCTGGAACGGCTAGACGAAGTCCTCACGTGTTTAGCTAAGGCCGGTCTCCAGCTCAACACTAAGAAGTATCGGTTTGCCAGTCACAGCATCAAGGTATTAGGTCAAGTCGTCAGTAAACATGGCGTTGAGCCCGATCTCGACAAGGTTGCCACGGTACTGCACTTTCCTACACCAACCACACAGAAAGACCTCCGCAGCTTCCTTGGCTTAGCGTCGTATTTCCGCCGCTTTGTACGGGATTTAGCAATTATTGCGGCTCCTATGTACAAACTTCTGACCACGAGCGCACCCTTTGTCTGGTCGGATGACTGCGAAGCCGCTTTTCACACCCTCAAGCGATGCTTCACATCACGGCCAGTGTTTCGCCATTTCGACTCTGCAGCACCTACTGTGCTACACACTGACGCAAGTGGACTTGGCATCGGTGCTGTCCTTCTTCAGCGGAACCACGCTTCCGAAGAATAAGTCGTGGCCTACGCGAGCCGCACTCTGTCACCTGCTGAGCGAAACTACAGCATCACTGAGCAAGAATGTCTCGCCATCGTGTGGTCCATACAAAAGTTTCGTCCTTACTTATACGGCCGGCATTTCACAATAGTGACTGACCATCATGCTCTGTGTTGGTTATCGTCTCTCAAAAATTTGTCGGGACGCCTTGGCCGTTGGGTACTACGATTGCAAGAGTATGACTACAGCGTCACATATAGGTCGGGCCGAGAGCACCAAGATGCCGACGCTTTGTCTCGTTGCCCGCTCTCGGAAAGCGCCGAAGTGTCACCTTTCACCTGTTCGTCACCGCCCGCCAAAGTGACCAAACAGATGGCTGCTGCTTCGAAACATTTAGTTGCCTCGGCGGACCTTCTTTCGTCCACAGATCTCGCCTCGCTCCAACATGCCGATACCTACTGCTGCACAATCATCGATCGGCTCACTGGCTTAACGCGTGCTCCAAACAGCCGCCTAAGACGACAACTTGCCCGTTTCAAGCTTCAAGAGGGAACATTATGTCGGCAAATTTA